CAAGCCAATCTATCCTCTCCACACTGAAATTCTATAAGTAGTCACTAATAAACCCCAGAGTTTGCTTCCAGCATGTGGAGATATAGGATTGACACAGGTTATCAAAAATAAACAGGCTTTCCACTGTTATCATACTTATTGTCAGGAAGCATTGTTTTAACAAAGAAAAAGTCAACCAAAACTACATTTCCCTACCTTTTGTTTTAAGTTTAAATTTACGACTTTTTATCATCAAATAAACGTAAAAAAATACACAAGCATGCCTAATCATTCATTCAACCTTTATTGAGACAGGTAAATCAAAGTGCATTTAAGCAGCACAGTGTAATGGCAATTCATGTTCCTGGACTATGTTGCTTCTTTTGTGTCTGTGCAGATGTAAATATGATATACTGAACAGCTGGACAACTTTGATGGTTCCAGCCTTTGTTGACAGGTTATGATGAGAACCCAAGTACAAGGTTTATTTTAAACCAGGTAAACTAAAAGTTAGTTTGATACAGAACAGGAAAAAGTGCTATTTTTGTAATATAAAGCTGTGCGTTAGCTCAGTATATTAACCTACATTTCTTATTTTATTGTAGGAGGGCATTCATGAAAAAAATGTAATTTGAGAACCAATCATAACCATATCCTTCTTATGCTTCTTTGGCTGCTTCGTTCTTCAGAGGTCGCCACAACGAATGAACTTGCACAAAAACTTGTCAATTGTTTTTACACCAGATGCCCTTCCTGACGCAACAACAGACCACCAAGCTACCACAGCCCTCTATGTGGAGCAGAGAGCTGCAGGGTGCCCAGGGGAGCAGATAATGTGTTATTTATTGTCATCATTGTATGTTCCCATGCAATGGCAAAATTGGCGCTTTGCATTTAACCCATCCACCACCAGGTGGAGCAGTGTGCAGCTATTGAAAACACCAGGGGAGCAATTGGGGATAAGGTCTCCTGCTCAGAGACACCATGAGATGTGCAATGACCAGGGATCAAAATCGTGACCTTCGGGTCCTGAGTCGGTTGCCCTGCTCCTACACCATCTCGGCCCATGGTGGGAGTTAAGGGCCTTGCTCAAGAGCCCAGAGTGGGGCAAATGAGGGTGGAGACAGGCGTGGGTGGTTTACCTTTTCCACCCACATTTTGATGTTATCGGTCTGGGGAGTCAAATCGGTGACCTTCCAATCACAGGTCCACTT